GTATCTCGAGTTACAGTTAGGTGTTAACTCGAGAAAGCATAGTGCATGGAAGGATGTGTTAGAGGCTTTTAAAAAGAGGTTAGTATCATGGAAGCATAGGTATTTATTGATTGGAGGCAGGGTGACTTTGATTAATGTTGTTCTTAATTCTATGCCATTGCACTCTATCATTTTTTAAGGTATCGAAGTCAGTGATAAAAGAGATTGTCACTATCCAACAGAATTTTTTATGAAAGGATGTTAAGGATGGATCTAAAATCCCCTGGGTGAAATAGGAAATAGTATACAGACCGCAGAAGAATGGTAGCTTAGGCATTAGGAATGTGCAGTAGTTTAACTGAGCGCTTCTTGATAAATTGTTGTGGCGAGGTGTTAACTGTTCTAGTTCATTGTGGGTGCGGGTGTTGGAATCTAGATATGGAAGATTAGCTTTTTCTATTTAGCGTTCATCAGTTCACAACAGATATTCTTTATAGTGGTGTGATTTGCTGGAGGTTATTCATTAAGAAAATTCATGGCTGGATGAGAAGTTTGATAGGAGTGTGGGTGCAGGTTTACACACTCTTTTTTGGAGAGATAAGTGGGTAGGTGGGGTGTGATTGTGTGAAGCACTTCCGCAATTGTTTATGGTGGCGATGAATGCTGAATCATACGTATTGGAGAATAGTTTTCATGATGGCATTAGGTGAGTTTGGGATATTAGTTGGCGAAGAAGATTCTTTCAACATGAGATCTCAAGCTTTAATCTTTTGTTGGAGTTTGTAGATAAAGTTTCTATTAAGTTACTACAAGAAGATAAATGAATATGAAGGGTAGATTCTTCAGGTTATTATTCAGTGCAATCTGCGTATTCATGGCTATTTAAACTTTTTGGTGGTCTTAATAGTGTAGATCAGTATACGGCAAATGCCTTGCAAAGGCTATGGAGAGGGAATGTCCCTCTTAAGTGTCTGATATTTTCTTGACAATTGTTGTTGAATGCACTTTCTTGTAAATGTTTGCTAATTGATCGTGGTGTTCAAATTGATGATATAACTTGTTGCTTTTGTCATGGTTTGGAGGAACTTCCAACTCATTTATTTTTAACGTGCTCAGTTTCATCTCTAATCTGCTACTGTACTACGCGTTGGCTTGGATTCTCACTGGTTTTGCCTTCAGATTTATCGACTCACTTACTTTCTTGAGTTGGTGTTGACTGTAGTAAAAGAGAAGGATATACTTATTAATTGTTTGGGTAAGTACACTGTGATCTTTGTGGTTACATAGAAATATAATTGTGTTTTTTAATGGTATTTTGAATAAGAGGGAAGTCCTAGATTCTATTATTCTAAGGTCTTAGAAATGACTATCACTTGTTAGTAAGAAAAAAACTATTATGTTAGCTGATTGGTATTTGAACTCACAAAATTACATCCGTCTTAGTTTTGTATAAGTATATTTTTGTTTTTTATTTCTCTAAGTAAGTAATTTTTTTTCTGTATATATGAGTTTTGAGTTCTCTTTGAACTCTTTCTAATAATATTTATTTTGCCTATAAAAAAAAGTTTATTAATTAAATATTAAATAATTGGAAATGTATTTAATAGTATAGATAATTTTTTTTTAATGTATATCAATCATTTCCCAAAAATTAAAGTGTTGAAAATTTACTTTACGCGTTTTTACGTGAAGGACAACAATGCTAATCACGTCAGAATTGTGAGGTTGATAACCTCCTATTATTTTCATTGCATTCCCTGGAAAAAATCTCAGCAAAATAATAAACTATCCCTTTCAATGGAGACTTGATAGCAAAAAGTTAAAAGCTCATTAATTATATGATTACGCGAATCCAAATATGCTAAAAATAGACTCAATTGTGTTAATGTTTTGTTTGCATATAAGGGTAAAAGAGAAAAAACAAAAAATGAAATATTTTATAGAATAATATAATATTTAAATGGAATGAAATAAAAATAAATAAATAAATTCACGAAAATAATTTTATTACAGAGTAAACGTTATTTCTTTTTAGGAAAAAGCAAATGTTTTTGATGAGGGTATATTTGAGAGAAATTGGACCTTTGCCAGCTTCATTTCATGATAAAGCGAGAGTCGTTATTTTTATCATTGAGGCCCACAGATTTATTTTATTGTCTTTTTTCCACATACAGGTATGACTAAAGTGGTTCATCCTCATCAATTTCTGTCCACACAAATTTAATGCAAATAAACAAAGTGTACGAGTGTGTTCATACATACTTGCCACCTTATATCAGAAGACAACAATGTCAATTTATTTGAATTTTTTTATATTGTAATTTAACTTAGTCCTATCAACTTAATTTAACTATGTTCAAATTTATTTTTATTTTTTCTTTATTTAGTTCAGTTCTTTAATTTAATTTTTTTGCCAGTTTTTTACTCCAATTCTTCCATTTTTCAAAAGAGTGGCTTGTTAAAAAATGGTTCGCATGCAATAAAAAAAGTTTATAACGACGATTTCAAAGTTGTTGATGTCAGATTCATAATGAAGTACATAAAAAATGTGAATTTTTTTTATAAAAAATACCAGTTCAAAATGCTACTATTATTTCTAGAAAATATATCATGAAATTAGGAGATAGAATAATGTTAATGATATACATATATAAAATCATAAAAATAATAAAAAAAATACTGAAATTATTACATGATAACGGTTCATTTATTTTTATATGATATTTAAAAAATTATATACTAAGATATGAGATTTTAGAAAAAATTGTAAAAATATAAGAACTCAAAAATATCTATACAGATACAGAAACTCAAGATAGAAGACTTTTTTGTCCTTATGAAGTTAATTTTAAAAAATATTATCAAAATAAGATTTCATAAAAATAAATTTTTGGTCTAAAGTTGAAGTTCACGTAGCAAGAGAATTGTTCTAAATAGAGACGACACAGATGCTGACGTGTCGAACTGTGACAGTGTCGTTCTATTAAGAAACGACACTCACAAAATGACGACACGTGTCATCTCAGAAATTAGTATCATCTTATTTGAGACGATTTTAGTAGCGTCCATAGTAGAGACTATTTTACTGTATTTTTTAAAATTTAAAAAATTTAAAAATACAGTAAAAAAGTATTAAATATTTTTAAATTACTACACATTGTTATTAACAGATTTTATTTTATACTTTAAAAAATTTAAAGTATAAAAATTGCCACTTATTTTTTATATTCTTCTAAAATTATATATTTTAGTATTTAAAGTTTTTTCATATAAAAAAATTCACACGATAACATGTATGCCATTAATTATTTACCGATGTCTCCTTATGCTTTTTTTTTTTCACCGGTGGTTCTTCTTTCTTAAAATAGGAGTGACGGAGCATTTTACCGTTTGTCCTGTAACATGAGATTTTTAAAAGGTTATAAATCAAAATATGAAATTACAAAGTTATAAAAACACAGAAATTCAAAATTATGAACAATACTTTTTTTTATAAATTAGTTATTTTTAAAAATGTTATTTGTTATTTTTGAATTTTATGAAATTTATAAATTTATTGTATTCTTTTATTTCTTCAATTGTAACAAAATTTCATATTTTGGTACATAAAGCTTGAAAATCCCATATAAAAAACAAACCGCCATTGATTGGACATTTGAGGCTCTATCCGTATAATGTATGAGGCATGTTAGTGGTCACCCAACACGACGACGAAAAAAACAATAACACAGCTTCTCTGATTGCTTTTATGGATGGAATTTAGACCACACAGACAGAGTTACTAACGTGTAAATCTACATGTCATATATTTTAGTATATTTCATTGCCTTCATTTTTCAAAATTGAATTGAAGATTGAAAATATTTTTGTTAAAAGCTATATTTATTTATTTAAAATAAAAATAAAATAAATATTTGTCTAATGAAATAGTATTATTAAGTATTAAAATTTTATTTAAAGTTGAAATTAATATTTATTTATTTAATTTATAATAAGATTTTGTTTTTATTTTCATTTTTATTCAATGTTTTTTTTCCGTCTCTCGCTGCTTTCCTCAAGCAATCTTCATAATTTATGGAACTACAGTATTAATTAAGTTCTCTTTCATTTCTACTTTTATATTATTTATTTCTACATAATAAAAAATGTTTTTACTTTAAAAACTGAAATAAATTCCTATTATATTTTGCTTAAAAAAAAGAGATTATATATATATATATATATATATATATATATATATATATCTTACTATTTCAGTTTTAAGTTTCATCCCTTCTTTTCCGGATCATTGGACACATTGACTCCGTCAAGAAATTGAATCCATACATTTCTAATGATATGAACTGGTTTAGTATATACGATAAAAGAATAAAATTTTATTTTTTATTTTATTAGGGTAAATTTTATTTAATAAAATAAAATGTTATCAAACTCTTATCGTAATTTTTAATCCTATTTTATTCATCAAATAAGTCTTCAAACTCAACAAAATACAGAGATTAATTAAGTACGGGAATAAGGAATATGGGAACTAAATTAAAACTTTGCCAATTTAAAATTGTCAAAAGTATATTTACGTAGACCAAAAATTTATTGTATCACAAAAAAGTATTTATTTATTTATGTGTTTTGGTAAATTTTCATTCTTTAAAATATTCTTTTTTTTTAATAGATAAAAACTATTAAACATAAAAGATACTATGAGTTATTTAATTGAAAATGTCCTGATTTTTTCAGTTTTTAATACGCTTTATTTTATATTCACTACGATAAAAACAGTTTTTTCTTCTTTCGTGTATAATAATTTGATATCTTACATAAGACGTAGGATAGTGTAAAGCAAATTAAAGATTTGAACAACGTTACTGAATTCAAAACATACACGTGAAGAAATTGCAGGATCAACCCTTTCTTCATCTAAACATGATTTGCAACAACACAAAACACCACGGCTTGAAGAAAAAAATCTTCCATCTCTCAAGCTATAAATAGAGCATTGAAGCTACACACAATGCACCAAAAATCCTATTCGCGCTTCCAAGCTAGAACCCAAGAGTTCCACTAGTTCACACTTTTCCAAAATCAATATGGCCAACCTAGTGAAATCAATTCTTCATCTTGGTGGCAATGACCCCAACCCGTTAACCATGTCCGATGAGCACATTTTGGAGGAGATTTATTCAACTCATGTCCAAAGTGACACTAAGTTTGATGCGGGCTCACTTTTCACCCTTGCTGAAAACATCCTTAAGCATTCAACCCATATTGTTGACAATGTTGTGCAAGTATATACACCTCCACAATTAATCATCCTTTTACACACTAAAGATTTTTGGGATTTTGCTAACTTTGGTATTCTAATTCTCCTTTGAGTTTCTAAACACTGATGGCTTGTTACAGGGAAACCAGGGAAGCCCCGAGCATATGGATGACAAGATTCCTCAAGCTAGCTTCAACTCACCGTTGTGTACTTTGAAGCAAATTTCTTCTGAGGTCATTACTTAATATTTGATTTTTATAAGCTAAACTAAATACATATATGTATTTAAATGATCTTTTTTGGTATCAAATATAGGGATAAGTTTGGTAGGATCTGCTTCAAAGGAAAGGTTAAATTATAAGGATGGATTTTAAATAAAATTATATAAAATGATTGACTTATAAGTTACATTTTGAACACTTTGGTAAATTAAAAGGACTGGCTTACGAAAACAAGTTACCATTTCTTATAGAGAACAACAAACTGTTTTTTTTTCTTCGTCTTTTTATGTTTGTCATTTTTTTTTTCATTCTTTCTCTCGTAGAAATTACTTCAAATTATTTCCCAAATAAATTACTCAAAAGAAAAATTGTTTAGCGAATACTATTCATTTTGTCTACTGTAGATCGATAAGCTTGAAGACCTAGTGAACCGAAGAAAACGGTAGATATGGATTTAACGACTTCAATGATTTTTGGTATCATTGTAATTAAAAATCAGGCAGTCACATAAAGATCTGGTGCCAAATTACGCTATAACTAGCAGTTTCGAAAGAAATTTCAAAACGGAAATGCATCAAATAAGATAATTAAACACAAATTTATTTTATTTGTAAAATTTATAACTACCTAAATGACAGAGTTCTTATATGTCGCATTCATTATATGCATAATTAATGTAAACTATATTTAGCCCAGAAGATGAACAAATGCCAGTTCGATACAAAAATTCTTGGTATGTATTAACATTGAAATGAAACTCAAAGACATGCATCGATATATGCATATATATCAACATTAATTAAAACAATTGTATGGCCGTGATAAACGCAAGGAGCTTACTTGTATGATAATGGCAGATGGCATGCAAGCCTCCAGGTGAGGAAATTGCTCACAAGACCACATTAGCCATCTTGGACAAGTTGTCAAGCTATTCGTGGGAAGCAAAAGCGGTGCTTACTCTTGCAGCCTTTGCTATTGAATATGGCGAGTTTTGGTTCCTTTCTCTGCATCAGCCAACAGACCCACTTGCCAAATCATTAGCTACAATCAAGCGTGTTCCTGTGCTCACTAAGCCCGCAGCCATACGGAAACACCGCAATGCCATTTTGGAACTCAACAATCTCATCAAGGCTACTTTGCAAGTGATTGAGGTCATTTTTGAGTTGGAAAAGCTTACTTCTTACAGCACAAAGGAAGTGCCAGCTTTGGTTCCAGCCTTAGAACAAGTCCCAGTAGATGTCTACTGGGCTATCATCACCGTTGTGGCAATTGTCACTCAGATTGATTGCCTCACTACTGATTCGTAAGTTCAGACTACTAGTGAAATTAACCTTGTGTATGTTCATTAAATTCATAAATAATTGTTTTATGATTTCAGGGAGAAGAGGCAGGAGTTATCCCAATTTGGTCAAAAGATTAACATCATACTCAGCAAATTAAGGAAGCAGATGCAACTGTGCAATCACCAAATCGGTAATTAGTTGAAGTTATTATTATTTTAGTTCTATTTTATTTGTAATTAATTTCTTAACCCCCTTGAAATAGCGTTGGAATGAAAAAGTCGATGATTGCATGCATGATGCTAAGAAAGTTATTTAAATTCACAGAGGAAGCAGAATATGACAAGAAAATCAAGAAACTCTTTCAAACCCCCACAGAGATTATGGAGGTGTTTAAGGTGTTGATTTTTGGGAAAGAGACTCCACAGGCACCCATCTATGATGGTGCCACTAAATCATTGGTTAGTAACATTTCTTTCTTAATATATTAATTACAACAATATTTTGTTGTGTGCGCGCGTGAGTGTTTATGTTTTTGTCTTTTAACTTGGTTTCGTCGGAGTGATTCAACGGAAACTTTTATTTCATTTTTTATATGTATTAATTAATATTAATTTCAATTATTGTATTTAAAATATATTTTGATTAAAATAAATACCCAAAATACATAAATAAATAATTGAATTACACTAGAAAAAATTATCAAAATAAATCATATACTGATTTTGCATTACGTTGTTCAAGTTGAAAATTCTAGAATTTTTGCCAATAGTAAGTTTAGGTGTGTCGATAAAATAACCATTTGGCTTGAATTAAAAATGTTTCGAAACAGGTAAACATTGAAGTGCTGAAAAAGAAGAATGTGTTCTTGTTCATTTCAACCCTGGATGTCACCCTAGAAGAAATCTCTATTATGAAGCCTATCTACGATAGAACAAAATCAGAAAACCAATACAAGATTGTGTGGGTTCCCATTGTGGAGGAATGGAATGATCAACTACGAAGGAAATTTGAATATCTGAAGTCTAAAATGTCCTGGTACGTGTTGCAATACTTTTCAACTATAAAAGGCTTCAGGTTCATAAAGGAGGAATGGCAATTCAAGAAGAAGCCTATGTTTGTGGTGATGAACCCTCAAGGAAAGATTCTGCATCCGAATGCATTCCACATGATTCAAGTTTGGGGATTGGATGCCTTCCCTTTCACTCAAACCATTGAAACAAAACTGACCCAAGAAGCAAGTTGGATTGAGTCACTCGTGATTAACATAAATCCACAATTAACCACATGGGTAAGTATAACTTTCTTAGTCATGAATCTTATTATGCAAATGATTATATTACAACATTTTTATAAGCACATCACTAGTTGAAATTAGTTGGCAACAAGTTTAAATTGAGAAAGTAAAGAAATTTAAGAAACCGTGTCTAATTATTTTATGTTTCCTTTGAAATAGATCAAGGAGCAAAAGTATATCTTCTTTTATGGAGGTAAGGATAAGGAATGGATTCAACAATTCAATAAATATGCGGGTGCATTAGCAAATGATGCCAATCTTAAGGAGGCAAAGGTTTCAATTGAGCTATTTTGTGTGGAGTTTGAACACCCGAATGTTGTCACCCGCTTTTGGAGAGGGATAGAAAGTTTGTTTGTGACAAAGATGCACATGACAACCAACACTGTAACAAAAGAGGTGCAAAAAATGCTTTCCTACAAGAATGAGAGTGGATGGGCACTTCTTGCCAAGGGCTCTACAGTGGTGCTCACTGGCCATGGAACCACCATTTTGAAGACAGTGGCAGAGTTTGAGAAATGGAAGGAAATAGCAATCAAACAAGGCTTCGAGATATCCTTTAGAGAACAACATGATAAAGTTGTTCGCACTACTCATCGTTGCTCCCACCTCGAAATTCCTAATGTTGCTGGAAAAATTCCCGACACAATTGAGTGTCCAGACTGTCACCGCACAATGGAAGTGTTTATCAGTTACAAGTGTTGCCACAAAGAGAATACTACTAATGCCGAGCATTAATATATCAGTTTCTTTACCATATAACTAGAGTCTACAGTACGATCTCCTTTCTCTTGTATTTTCTTAAGTCTAGTTTGCATTATCGTTGTGGGTTCACTGTCTTTTCTTAAGTCTACTAATTCGCACAATTGAGCATTAAATAAGTCTAGTTTTTTTTTTTATGAGATCACTGTCTGTTCTATGTTTCGTTGTGGGTTGGGGCCAAATTAGTAATTTGCATTATCGTTGATCAGAGTCTGGTCTCGAATTAATGCAGCTACAATAAGGCCATTTGTCAACTTTGTGTTCTATTATATGAATGAATAATGAGTGCAGTATTCACGTTTGAGATTTTCAACTACTATTCAAGCTTCAAAGATTTTCATAATTTCTCTCGTCTTTGAATACCAACTTCTATTGCATTTTATACGAGTGGCAAACCCTCCAAACTTTCACAACATCAAGCCACTCCGAATTTTTGATAAAATATAAATAAGAAAAGCAGTGTAATTTTAATGCAAAATAATAGTAATAAATTCTCTCTCTCTCTCTCTCTCTATATATATATATATAAATACATTTTAACTAATGCAAACAACATTATAATATCATTCTATATCTGTGTTTTTTTGGAGCATCCACCTATAAAACATGTGTAAAAGACAAAGACAACACATAGCAGCGTGCATGCGTTCCTATCCAATTGACTTTAAAGGAAGAGAACATTTTGCTGGTGACTTTTCCATGATCCATGTAATTTTGCCATCTGTCTCAACGTGAAGAAAGAGAAAGTTCAAGCCTCTAGCCTTTTCCAATTTCCAGTGCCCACGCCTCACTGCCATTGCTTCTGCGAATTACCAATGTGCGTGAAGGGCAGAATCATTTTGAAGAGCGAGACAAGGAGCGTAACAGGTTTCCATGATCCTCCCCCAAACAGTGCCCAAAAGCTCTGCCATGCCCGCAAATGTTGCAGCATAAGGTACCCAAACATTTAATGTTGCAGCAAGTGGTCCCCTAACATTTGACGTGACCAAATGAAGTAGTTCCACGCATGATTTAACCTTATCCGTTTGTTACGGTGGAAGGTGTATGGTATGTCATTATCGTGCGCTCTCTTTCTCAGACTTTTAAAAATAAATTTTTAATTTAATTATCCTTTTAGTTTACCTACTTTCACGTGTGTTTAATTTTTCTAATATTAATGGCTAATATTTAATCTTTTTAATTTATTAAATATTTAAATTAAATTTTGTATCTTCAAATTTTATTTAATAGTTAATAAAAATATAATGAAAGTAACATTCTATTAATTGATTTATATATTAATAAAAAATTATAAATATAATAAAAGTCTTAATTTTGAGGTGTATTTATTTTAAAATTTTAAAAAATTAAAGAGATCAAATGCGTTGAAGATCTAAAGTACAATTAAATCCAAATCTAAAATTTTTACAATGTCTAAACTTGGATTTGTCATTTAATAGGTACACTTCAATGCATACTTGTCCTATTATCGTTGTTAATTAATGCATGTAAGCCAATTAGAAAAATCACTTTCTAAAAAGAAGTTTGAGAAAGACATATCAATTAATATAAAAAATTAAATTGTTATTATTTATTTATAGTACTGGTGAATATAAAATAATAATTAGTAGTGACAAATTTTTTCTTGTTAAAAATTTAAAGTATCTTTTTTATAATAATGATAAAATATAAATTTTCAAATTGGTGTTAATTACAAACAAAAATTCATTCATGACCTTTGATATTATTCACTTCAATTTTTTACTAATTTTATATTACAAAATTCACTAAAAAAATAATTTTTGTCATTAATGATTAAATAATTCTTCACAAATATTATATATACATATATTACCAATTCTAAATAGTGATTTTAAAAAGAGAAGCTCTGAAGAAAACCTTTTGTAAGTTTTTCTTGCTTTGAATAAAAATCACTTCTTTCTCTAGCTGGCTATGTTTGGATTAGAGTCTTTTCAGTTTTTTTTTTCCTTTTTGCATCATCCTTTCATAATTTATATTAGTCCTTCAGCGGACTACACCTTACAAAGATTTTTTCTCATAAATTCTCTTCCTATGTATGTATATGTGTGTTTAATAAAATAAAAATATATATTATATGAATAATTTTAAATTAAAAAACTTATAAGAGTAAATATCATAATCATCAATAATAAATATTCTTTTGTATTAAATAAAATTTAAAAATATAAATTTAAAATAATTTAAAATACATATAATATGGAAAAAATAATACTTGTTATAATAAAAAAATATTTTTTAACATTCATGTCTATGAATATTAAAAAAAAAAAAAACACTCTAGTTAAAAATTTAATACAGACAACTTTATGATTTTGTTTTCTTTTCAATCATGTTGTACATGTATTTTTTTCACATTAAATATTTTATTTTGTTTCAATTTAATCAATTTATAATTTATTCAATTATTTTTTATCTTTTTAACTTAATCTTTTCATTATAATTAATCAATCAATTGGCATGAAATTGTTTTAAATGTTACCTTAAGTGAAATCGTGTAAAAGATATCTACGATATACACTGGAAAAGATCAAAATTTAAAATTTAAAATACTATTATCATATATAATTATTTTTTTAAAATACAAAGAATTATATTTGTTGGCTAAATTATCTCCAACAAATGAGTTTCCATAATTTTCATTATTCTAATTATGTATTCATATTACAATATCATATTTAAAATTAACTTGATTTTTTTTAACAAATCTATGCTTCTAAAATTTAAATTCAAAATATTTAGAGCTTGTTTGATTTAATTTTGACTTTCAATTTATAAAAATTATATTTTAAAATAATTTTAAAAAACAATTTTTAGAAAAAAATAAAATAATTTTTTTTGATAAGTTAGTTTTTAAAATTGTTTTTAGTTAAATTTTTGTTAGTTATAAAAAGAAAAACAGAAAAATAAAACAAAAATACCTAAAAAGTAATTTTTTTTTTAGTTTTAAAAAATAAAAATAAAAAAATATTTTAAAAACTTATTTTAACAAACAACTTTTTCTGTTTTTTATTTTTAAAAAGAAAAAACTATTCAAGAAGAGAAAATAAACAAATTCTTAAATCTATTGTTTAACATTTTATGATTAAACCCTTATTTTGGTATATGAAATAGTAAGTGGTAGACATTTTAGTCCCTAAAATTTTAAAAAAGTCATGTTAGTCCCTGACTTCTATCTTCAACCAACATTTAAGTCCTTAGACTTAGACACTGTTAATAGACAATAACAGAATGTTGACATGTCACGTGAAGTGACACGTGTGATTTGATTACGTAGCAAAATGACGTCGTATGTGGTATGATATATACTTTTATTTTATTTTAGTCCTTGAGGTTATCACCTTCATGACATTTTAGTCGTTGAAATTGTCACCGATGAACATTTAGTCCTTTTTTCTTAAAATCTTTCAACTATCTATCCTTGTTCTTCTTCTTCTTCTTCTTCATTCTCCTGGATACTATCTGGCTACCATTTACGTTCTTTGTTAGCAGTAGAGACATTGCTTTAGACACTGTTTGGACAAATTTCAACTTCACTATTTACATATAGGCTTTGGGTATACATAAAAAAAATGGTAAAATATTTCCTTCAATGGTTACTTCAAAGGGTGGAAAGTGCTCTTGAATTTGACTATTTCAAATTGCATTTTTGTTTGCCTCAAATGATGGTGGTATGAAATTATGATTTTACTTTATGGGTTGTTGTTCGTTGTGCAAGTGTACCCGTCGAGAAGTAATAAAGGATTCTAAAATAAGTTCTCAAAATATCGTCCTACAAAGATTGATTTGCAATTATTAAGAATTTTTTAATTCAATTGTTTGAGCCTAAAAGATGTAAAATTTAATAAGAACCATAATTTAATTATAAATAAAAGCAAATAAAACAATACAGGTCTTGGTTGAACTTACAAGAGAAGAACCTAGGGCATATAGATTTTCTCATTCAATCCTTTATTTTATTTTTCTATTTAACTCTAAAATTGATTTCCTTGTAATTACTAATTATTCATACAAATACTATTAATACCCAATGATTATGCAATAGTAATATCCTTTTCTCTAAAAAAAGCATAAAACACCTATAAACTTGTTAATTTAATAACAATTGGAAGAGAAAGATTAGTTTAGTCTACCTAATCCTTTGCCTCATTTTACCCTATAGATCCATTAACTAATTGAAGTATGATTATCTAACGATAAAATTAATTAGAATTATAGTTATGCGCAATAAGATAAAAGCTAATCACAAACGGAAACCAAATATAAATTCAAACTTCAAAATCTCATAAATTCATGCCCATAGCCCTAGCTATGGATTTAGTTACTCATGTTAAAAGAAAGAACTAAAACAATCATAAACAAAGCTATAATAAAAAGAAATAGCAAATTAGAGTGTGACATGAGTTTTCGGTCTTCAAGTACGATCGCTTGAAGCTTCAAGTTCCATCAAGAGTATGCCCAAGATCCTGTACAAGAGAAACGAGATGAGAAACGTATCAGAGAGTAAAAGACAAGCTGTAAATGGTGTCTCTAACAAGATGTCTGAGGTATCTCTTTTATAGGATTTGAAAACCCTAAAAGTTCTTCATTAATTGAGCTTGAAGTACTCTTGTGCTTGATGATAGGGTCTGGACCTGCTGACTCATGCAAAACTCTATTTTGCAACCAATTTGGGCCCAAAACACGTCTTAAACCTAGTTGTGGTCTTTTTATACTAAACTGAATAATATACAAATATATCAGTGTAAAACCAAATAAAATAAAGGTCAAACATCAATATATAAGCAGTAAAAGAGGGTCTAATTACAGACTTATCAACTCTCTCATACTTATCTTTTTGCTTGTCCTCAAGCAAAGTGCTGGTTAAGAGAATAACAAAATAACTTGAAACACAATACCACAACAAGGAACCAAAGATAAATGAGATAAAAAAAAGTAACAAAAGTAATATCATTGAGCATAAGTAATCAAAAGAATTTGCAGTTAGAATCTTATATTAACATACTTTTCACTCAAACATCAAAGTAAGGTACTCTACTTCCCTCTCTCACTAAGAGACAAAAAGAGATATCACTCAGTTCCTTCAAAGAAAGTGTACTACTATAAGCTTGAATATAAATTAACTTTTCACTAAATAAAATAAATACATGTAAAAATCATGAGGTCTTTGTCAGATTGTAATAAAGAGAGCAACAAAAATGATATCACTGAGTATAAGCAATCAAAAGGATTTCCAATTAGAATCTTATATGTCCATACTTTTCACTCAAATATCAAACTAAGG